CGTTCTGTAAAGCTGGAATGTTGAGGTACCTTGAATTCCATTTCCATGAAGTCCATACGCCTATGCACACTACAGTCGATTACATTTGTCATAATGACATTTCTTTTTAACCTACCACATGATGTCATCTCCATAATGCAACCTCTCTCTGTGAGTAAATCTATTGCATTATTCAGTCCCTAGATGTATTTGTATAGCTTTATAAGAATATTACATTATAAGATTTTAGACTTGGATGTAGCTTTACACATGTCCTCCTTTTTAGATTGAAAGTACTGCACTCAGGCAGCCCTGCACTCATAACTCCTATTCTACAGTCCTACAGAAATACCACTGATCTATTATCCGTTTTGAGATGATGTGTTTCAACAGCTATTGGACAGATTGCCATCATATTTGGCTCAGAAACTCATGTTCCCTTCAAAAATAATGTATAATCCCTTTGGTGATCCCCAGACTTTTCATCATCAGATCAAAGCTTGAATTTGTCCAACACTTTGGCTTATGCCCAAATATCTGCAAAGTAATGACATTCAGCATCAAGTGGACTTTGTGTGCTGCTTAAGGAGATGCTGCTAAATGAACACAAAATACACCAAACTGACCATGACAGTGAACATGATAAATGAGAATACATAATAGTGTTCAGTACATGCTCTCATCAACATGTTAGCAGTGTATCTAATGTAAAAGTTCATTTTTTTCATTTGTTTGACTGCTCATCAAACAACTTATCTTTGGCTTCTAATAGCTGCCATTTGTAATGCAATCAATTCCAGAGTTACCATTGCAGTCCTCAGTGCTGTTAAAAAAAACAATAGCTAATTATCTTTCCTGGTGCATTGTTGTATTTAAGTACAAAACAATTATATTATTTGATTAGGAGTATTGCATCTTGCATTCAAGGCTTAGACTTCAGTTTCACTTTTCCTGGAAAGCGCTGGACACACGAGCGGAGCCTCATGTGATCTGTGATAAATCAGTGCAACCTGTCACTGAATGAACTGGGTCATCATTGGATTATGATTTGAAATGCATCAAGCAGACTCGTAGTAGAGAGTGATTTGATGCTCCGCTCCCGCAGATTTGCGGCTCGCTGTTTTTGGGTTTTTTCAGGAACACTGGTACTATTTTATCTCAGTCGGGACTTTTATCAATTGGCAGTCTATTGATGTAAATGTTGGGTAGCAGGTGTGGACTGAGACAAATCATTCAAGTTTGATCATACTAGTCTTTTCAGGAATGAAGGTTGCAGCGATTAAAGTAAGTACATTAGTTTACTCCTGAGGTCTTTTTCTTTCCCCAGCAGCACAGGGAGGGTTGCCGCTTTGCATCGCGTGTATGTTTGTCTCTTGGCTCCAACATGTCCTCCTCAGTGGGGTTGGCTCATTTGCTTGGATTTCTGTTCTCTCTTTTGAATCATCTCGTGTGAATGTCATAAATGAAGTCATCTTGGCTGATACAACCTAAACTTTCCTTCCCTCTTTGAGTTGGAGCTATTTGGTTGCACAACTTGCAACCCAAGAGCTGGTCATTAAGCATAGGGTAGGCTTCAGTTATATTTTTGGTGACTTTATTTCTGCTTTGCAATTGTGGTAGACTGCGAGCTAGCACACTCCCTGGTTATTTGTGTTGTGAATTTGTAGTTTAGTCGCCTGGGATCGAATAGCAAAGCATCAGTTATTGATATATTTAACTGAATGTGCTTCAAGCTGTAATGCCTGACACTCATTTTCACTTGCAACAACTGCAGATGTCCTCACTTGAGCACTCTGTAAATTGCCACTATGCAAAAGTAAAGCAGGACTTCACATGTGGAAGAAGAGAAAACTGCTCTCCCCCAAGTGCTACCGCCTCCCCTTTTTTTTCTGTTACCTCCTGCCCTCTCCTCTGCTTTTTTTTGCTCCCTCCATCCCTGCTCTTTGTCCTGGGAACGTACCAACCAGAGAGGGGGGAGAGGAGGAGAAAAAGGGGGAGGGGTGAGCAGCATGTCAGGCAGAGGAGAGGAGGGGAAAGGAGGGAATAGCATGCGGCGGAGGGTCACAGAAAGCAGACCGTGAGATCGCAGAAGGACAGGACTGAAGGAACATTTATTTTTTCTGGATTTTGCCGTTTCTTCTGTTATAGCCTGCTGCTGCTTATATCATTGGGTGTTAAAGTTCTGCTGGCCATCAAAGAAAGAAAGCCAACAAGAGAAAGAAGGTGAGGAAATCAGGATGGGGAATCACAATAGTGGGATGGGGGCAAAATGGAGGAGATGAAAGTGGTCCCGTTGAGGATTCCTAATAACCGCCTCCTCATCCAACACCATGCTGCTACTAATAGTGTTACCTCCCACCCTCTGTCTCTGCACCCCACACTGAGAGAGCTTACTCTGCATGTGAAAGAAAGTGCAGAGGGGGCTTTTGTGTCCTGCTGAGGGGAACTTTGTCCCAGGCTGGTGAAACAGGACTATGCAAGAAGGGATGTACATTCTTATGCACACTTGTACAAATGGAGACTGGGGTCAGGTGCTGGAGTGTCAAAGAGAGGCGTAAAGCTCTAAAGAAGCAACGTGTAGGAACTAAAACAAGGAGTGAAACCCAGACTTAAAGTGCTGTGAGTACAACGTGTCTTTCTGTGTCTTTGACTGCTGTTTGGTTCTGCTGCTGCACTTATCGGAGCAATGCTTCCCCCCTGTCCTTGTGTGCCTGCAGGACTCGTCAACATTGCTTGTGTGCAAAAGATGGATGTTGGATTTTCAGGGGTACATTGCAACTCCTCTGGCTCTCTTTAAAAATGACCATCTTGGAACCAAGATGTGTGTTGCTTTATGGAATGTTATGCGCCTGCTCCTCTGCTGTACACAGGAAGAACAGACCACCCATGGATGTGTATTCTTCTCTAATATGACCATAAACAACTTGAGGCCAGGAAAAAAGTTATCATTTGAAATGCTAGTGACTTGTCTAGTTGTCATCCTCCTTGGGGTAGTTGTATTGCCTTTTCTTTGTTACTAAAATGTAGAGCTTTAAATTGAACCCAGTACACCCAATTTATTATGACATATTAAGTATTATATTTTGTGATAGACAATCTATTCTCAATTAAGTTTTAGGGTGTGCATAGTTATGCCTGGACTGACAAAAGTTAAGGACGTGAGACTGATGACTAGATGAAATGTCTAGAAGTGTCTTCCATGTACATGTTGTTACTTGTGTCATTAGTCTTTTGGCAGTGAAAGTGATGGGACGTAGAGGCTGCTCTGTCAGGCACAGTAGGGCTTTGAGCAAAATGATGATGTCAGCATGACCTCATGTTAACAAAGATAATTCTAATGGCCAGATGTTATATCGGGTGTTAGTATCATAACATTTTCAAATTAGAAAAGTGTCCATCGCGGCCAGATGTGTCTGCAATAACCCACCCCCTGTCTAGACTGCGAGTGTATCGGATGTATTTTTCAGACGCACCTCTCGCGCAACACATACTCTCTCATTTCGATCCATGCAGCTGTTTGATGCCCAATAAAGAGGCACTGAATAAATATACTTATCTACATTTTGCATCCTACACAGAGTGTTCTGGCACATCGGTCCCACTGAACAGCACGTTCTTTTATATGCACATTAAATAATATTTGTATACTAGTTTGTCTCTGAAAAGAAACACAGCCACACAGTAAAGGGCAGTGGTGTTCAGGGAAGGCAGTCTTTAAGTCATCTTGTATGGGAACAAAAGGACTTCCATGGACTTTCCTCCTCACTCTGGAACCATGAAATTGCTCAGACAATATCTGTTTAGTGGACTTTAGGAGCACACAAATACCTTTGCTTTTCTGACAGCAGAACAGTTTTCTTTAGAAAGCAGTTGGGAAATTGGAACAAAAAAGTTGCTAAGATGTACAAAACATACACAAACTTAAGGAGCACTGAAACAAAATGACGCGTTCAGAGTTTCAGTTGTTTTGAAAATAGAACCTTTTTTATACAAACCCCACAACCTGGAACGTATGTGTTCTGTATTTGGAACATGCCTAGCAGGTGCTATGCTACATCATACTGTATCTTCATTATGTCTTCATCTGGTGTTGTAAGCTAAGTAGATACAACTCTGCCTGAGAAGTTCTACTCATTAAACCGGGGGGGGGGCTCTGGGGAGAAAAAGAGCACCACATGATATAAAGCTTAAATCTTATTTTGCACAAAGAAGCGTTGACATGTTGACTCAAGGGCTAAGGAGCCTTCCATCGAGCTTCTGATTGGTGGACGATCACTCTACCTCCTTAGCCAAGGCTGATGCATGCATATTGTTCTGTTTTACATATGGACACAAGAAATGCATTTCATATACTGATCGACCACCTGGAGATTTCTAGAACCTGACCTTAACAGAACCTGTAGGGGATACTTCTAGGATCTGCCTTGTGTTTTTCACACCAGAATATTTTGTGTTACCTCATTGATATACTCACACCACTTCATATATCAGGGAAACATAGCATGTGAGTGAAGCTGACAGTGGAAACTGAATCACAAGATCTTCTGTATATTGAAACATGGTTCAGAAGGAGGTTTTTTGAACTGGCCCCCAAAGCGGCTAGACAAAATATTTACTTCTGATAATGGATGCACATTAAGTTATGGATCATTACGTTTGTGTTGTTGAAAAAGCCCTTATGATAAAGAGTTACTGAAAAGAAGAAGCTTCATGCCTTTTTTGAGCAGCTAACAGAAATATAGATTGACTTAAATAAGTTTTCCTGAGCGGAATAATGCTATCTCCTCTTGCTGCACCTCTTGTTAACATCAAGTTAACGCCATTTGAGATGCTTTATTCAAAAATAGCCATGAAAAGAATGGTGGAACGGATAATTATGAAAGAATGTGGAATTATTTCATCAAAAATGGTCTAGCAAACATGAATAAAATGGAAAAGAATAGAAAGTGTTTTTGTTCATGACCATCTGATTCTACCTCTTGCTTTGAAATGACAAATGCTCTCTTCTCTGTGTCCTCCAGTTGTCCCTCGGGGATGAACAGTGTGAAGTGACGCGGAACGGCTATGAGTCGAAGGAGCTGGTGTACCTGGTCCATATCTTCTGCCAGGTAAGAGTCCACTGGGTTTGATACTGCACTTTTTCTTTCAACTTTTCTTTTCAAACTTGTGGGAACGGAATTCCAACCCACAAATGATGCTTCAGTAGACTTGTTCAGATATCCAGAGCAGTCTCTCCCTTGAGAAGGCCGCTGGCATACATTTCTGAAACACCTAAGTGTTTCAAACATCCCAGTTATGTAGGAATTTGGAACTGAATTGAAAGAGCTGCGAGTGAATGCCAGGATGGCTGAATTATTCTGAAGAAAGTCTGATAATGAGAGCTTCAAACCATGAACTTTACAAAGCACTGTACACATGCATCTTCATATGTGAGCATACTACCTCAGCAGGATTATTTGAATGACATTGCCTGTTTATGCATTGTTTTCTGTTAATGTGTTTCTATGTCATTGGAAACTCAATTATTAATGTTAAACCGATATTGTGCAAGTTCTTATGAAGTGTACCGTTCATTTGGCACTGTTGTGTCCATGGTGATATCTTATTATAACCAATTGTCGTTGCGTTGTGTTGGCTGTTGAAGTTTTTTCAAATAGAAAAAAGGGTTGACTTTGAATTCGTTGTTTAGGAGGGATGTGGGAGTAAAAACCAAATACTTTATGATTACATAATATAGTTTTTCCAAAAATGTGATTAACCCAGAATTGGGTATAGTCTTACATTAGAGCAAACATGCACAGCTGCTCTAAAGCTTTGCCCCAGCTGCCTCCAAAGACATTTTTGATTCTGGTTTCCTGTATTTCCCTTCTGCTCATAATCTTGGCAATGCAACACAGTATGTGCTTTTGAACTTTGGCAACTTCTTTCAGCCGTCATACCATTTTTAAATCTACACTAGTTCTATTTGAACAGGTTACAAATGTGCTTCCTGAACCAGAGAACTAACCCAGTGAGATTGGTTCAGTTCTACATACCCAGAAATGGGGGTAACTAGAAGCAGCATCTGAAAGTGGGGCAGGACACCATCAAGAGTTCCTTCCAATGCATCTCTACCAGACAGAACTTTAAAAACAGAACTAGAATCAGCTGTGCTCTGCAGTCCCAGTTGTCAAGCCTTGGTCTCGGTTCAGACAGATCTTTCTGGGGCAAATCAAAGCAACATACTTTTTCCACCACCAGTCCCCTTCAGTGGGTTTGAAGGTTTGGAGCCCGGCCTTACTGGATGAAAAAGAAACATATCCATTGCAAAAATCGTTACATTTAATGTGGTGGATTCAGGGCAGCATTTTCTAGGATTGCATTTACACTGGTCACATTTAATCTCTGTCTGTTTTGTTTGGAAAGACATTTGAAATATTAAAGTTTACAAGTCCATGGGTGACTTGATTGTCGATTTTGAGACAGTGCCATTGGGTTAGAGGCACGAGAAGAGTGTCTGTCTGACAAAAACAGAATCCAAGAGAAACGATAGAAAAACAGTCTCACTAGTTTTGTCTGATAAAGGATTTATGGGCTGCTCCATATGCTAATGAGCCTGGTGGCTCTTTTTGTAATGTTATTCACAACGTTCAGCTTCTAGCAACAGGTGTGTTGTGTCAGTGTTGACCTTGAGTATTCCACAACGTTCAGCTTCTAGCAACAGGTGTGTTGTGTCAGTGTTGACCTTGAGTATTGGACCACACCGGACACCTGGAGAAGCCTACTTTAGTTTGTTAAGGGTCTACACCAGATAATGATATATATTAGCAGGTAGCACGTTACAAGCATCTTTAATAATGATGATAATATTTGCTGTATTTGTTTGGTACCTACATAATTGAGTTATTACGTTATTTCCGAGAAAAGAGAAATGAAGAGATAGCAATTACATCATTTGACAGATTTGATTGATTTGTATGATGGATTGGTCCCTAAAATCTAGATCAGCAGCTAAATGAGTCTGTATTCATGTAAATAAACCTGCGTAAATGTTTGTTTGGCCATGGAACAGTAGTGGAAACAAGCTGCTAACACTGTGACTGAACAGTGGGTTTAGAAAGCTTTTCAATCCCAATGTTGGTCTCTGTGGTCGATGATCGTCCGCCATGAGTGATGGACGATTACATCATCATTTATTGACCTAACTCGAATGTATCTGAGAGCAGTGGAAGTGAGTGAGAACTGTCGGCCTTAACACCAAAACAATGAGTGGAGCTTTAGAGTAGGGTGCTGTTTGTCACAACAACATGGGTGGGACCTTGTGTGTTATATAATATTGTGTGTGTTGTCACCCATTGTTAAGTTTGTTGTTATACAGTGATTGTGTATTACTTCTAATACTATTTAAGGTTTTCTTTTGTTACGTTTCTATGGATTTCACAATACAATTTGTTTAGTTTTCCTGTTATATCTTTTAGGTTTGGTGAAATCTTTCCATAAAAAATGACTTAAAGGTGGGGTATGTAATTTATTTCAGAAACACTTTTTGTTATATTCCATGGAATGCTCTTAACATCCCGATAGCAATGAATATATTAAATGCTTTGACAATAAATACATAAAAAATGTCATCTGTGGAAGCCGTAGCGCTGTAAAAAGCACGACCAATCATTTTAGCCGGCCCGGCTAAAATGACTGGATGGCCTACCTGCCTGTCAGCCTTCCATCTGTGCACAAACTTATCTCGTGCCCTCATTGGTCATGTGCACGTTCGTGTGTGTTGGAGGAGGGGCTCTGTAAGGAAGTCTGAAGGAAGAGGCAGATTTGTTCCGGTTGTGTACTTTCAGATTCTAGCGCACTCGAGCTGGTTTCTCCAAAATGACATACCCCACCTTTAACTTAACCTAGCTGCAGTTGAATAGAAACATGTCTCACTTGTAGCTCTTTAAGCTGATTGTATTCTGTCTGTTTTTTTATTCTAACTGTTTACACTTTTGTGTTGTCCTTTTGAAGGGTCGAAGTTGGATTGTGAAGCGCAGCTATGAAGACTTCCGTGTCCTGGATAAGCACCTGCACCTCTGCATCTACGACCGACGCTTCTCACAGCTGCCTGAGCTGCCCCGACTGGAGAGTCTGACTGACCAGTCAGAGGTAAGAGCTGTAAGAAAATACAAATGTAGTAATAAGCTGATATGGAGCTTCAGTAAAGGCTTAGTAAAGATGTTTTTTTCCTACATGTAGTAAGCAGTACTTAATCTTACATATCTTTTGAATGCCCTCACTAAACTATCCAGTACTTAGTCACCACCAACATTGAGTGAATGCTAAGAGGTAGCTGGCCATAAACTTTTAGGGAGGCGTGTGGCGCAGTGGAATAGTGCGTTGGTGTTCAGATCAGGGGAGCACAGGTTCAAACCCCACTGCAGTCAGCATGTCGTTGTGTCCCTGGGCAAGACACTTCACCCCAAATTGCTCCTGTGGTGATTGTCCACTGTATTGAGTATGTAAGTTGCTTTGGATAAAAGCGTCTAACAAGTAATGTAATGTAACTAGACAACAGGGTAGCAGTTAGTTTATATATGAAAGCTGTTACCATGCTTTGATATCCTATATGATCTACATTTCATTGCTCTTGGAATCTACAGGTTGATATTTTGCAGACTACTGTGTGCATGTGAAACGTATTGTGAGCCAGACAACCTTTCTGAGGCTCTAAGAAGAATGCAGAGGTTAGGTATCAAGAGAACTGGTAAAACGTGTTCATCACAGAGGGCTATTGTGCATTTGGTGGACACTCAAAACTGCCTGCGGTACTCCACTTTCACAGTGCACACTTTCACTTGTAGCTGTACCCTCCTGTTGTCTTCGGGTCAAATCTGACCGATTTACTACTTTCATCAATCATAACTTTTTTGTTTTACATTTGATTGCATTAAGGCTTTATGATATCCTTCACAGTAGACATTTGAACATATAAAATTGCTGATCACCACTTTCATTGAATTTTGGATGATTTAGTCAACTTTGTAACACCCATGGTGTTCCCGGTCAAAAATGACCGCCATAAAGAAAAGGAATTAGTAACCATCAGATAAAACACACACAGAAACACACACACACACACACACATACTCTAGATGTGTTCCCCCCCTTATGTGCCCATCCCCCCATGTGAATCACACCTGGCACTCACAAACACACACACACAGAACAATTTGACACATGTCCCGCTCTTATGTGCCCATCCCCCCACATGGATCACACCTGGCACACGCAATACATGTTCAGTGTCTATTCTTTGTATATTTACTGCAGTTGTTCATGTATACCAGTAGTCTGATACAATATTTACAGTTTGAAAGGGTGTTAAATTAAATTTGGTGATGATTAATGGTTTTTGTGTTGATGTAATAGCAGTTAAAACAGGACCGGTCAAATTTGACCGCGAACACCAAAGTAAGGGGGGGAAACGAAGACAATAGGAGGGTTAAAGAATACATTGATACACAGTTTTGATGTACAGCACGAGGGTTAGGTGGGTCAGGTTAAAACAAGAAGTGTACTACAGCCTTAAAGTCTCTACATTCTTCTCAATAAAATGATTAACTAAGCAGGTAAAGAAAGTATAAGAAAAGAAAGTATAAAACTAAATTGGCCTTGTAATATAAAGTCATGACTCATAGCTGCCAATATCTGTTTAAGTGGTGCACTGCCATGCACAAGTCTTAAGCTGTGTAATTAGCTGCTTTGTCATTCAGAAATGGCATAATGAGACTTTTTATGGTAGTTATTAAAGAGGACACAGTTTGCTCATTTTCAGGTTCATATTTGCTTAAATGTAAAGAGGTTTTTCTCTTACTACCTGTGCTGCTGCACCTCTTTTCACCCTCGGTCTGAAACCAGAGACCCCTCTGCTCTGATTGGTTAGCTGGTTGGCTCTGCTGTGATTGGTCAACCGCTTAGAGATGGGTCAAAAATGTCCCCTCCCCCCCCCCTCAGCTTATTGCATACAATGTGTTTGATCGCTAGCCAATAGAATAGCTATTGTCACTACGTTACATAAGTAAACAAAAGAGTCCATGTTTCAGGCAGGGGGGGGGGAGTTTGTGGGAGGGAAACTCCCTCTGGGAAACACAGGGATTTGAACCTTTTTGCCATCTGAAATAAATGTAATGACTCTAACCTGTTTGTGTATTGTCCGCCCTGTTAGTCAGTTTCCCAGATGTTGTTGGCTTACCTCTCCCGGCTCTCGGCAATCGCTGACAACAAGATCAACTGTGGGCCCGCCCTCACATGGATGGAGGTGAGCCTGCCCTGCACACAGCATATCTCAATGAATTGAGAATCCAGTTGTAACAGCTATCTCCCTCTCGTAAGGTCCAATGCACAAAACATATTCTATCATAAAGTGCAAACACGGCCAAAAGGTTTGGCAGATACCAGTTTGCCCTTTGTTTGCGTCTGATTACAATTATTCATGTGGCAAAATATAAATGTGCTTAGGTCAATGCGCCAGTTGACACAGACACACCAAACAGACATAAAAGCACACCATACGAGCCATTCCTTATATTCCATACTTCCTCTGTGTACATTGCCCATTTTTGTTCAATGCCACGTATTTTTATATCTGCACAGCTCCGCCTCTTTAAATTCTGATTTACTGCACATTTTGTATACTCAGAGTAAATGTGATATTCTATTGTTCATAGTTACTTGTCCATTTATATTTCTTGTAAACATTCAATTTAATTCCAGACAGGCATGACGTACTTGGTCATGATCTTTTCTAAGTCAGATGATAGCCACCATCCATTATTGAATGCAGTGTGTGTTTTTCCTGTGTGTGTGTATCAGGTTGACAATAAGGGAAATCATCTGCTGGTTCATGAAGAGTCGTCCATCAACGTGCCGGCTATTGCTGCTGCGCACGTCATCAAGCGCTACATCGCCCAGGCCTCAGACGAGCTGTCCTTTGAGGTGACAACACACATATACACACATTCAAACACAGGGGAACACACATGCTCTCTCTGTGTCTCTGTCTACAGATATACAGAGATTCTATTAAAAAACCTTGCGGATATTTAAAAAAGAAATAACTGCCGATATAATAAAGTTGTCATTCAAATACTTGTTAAAACGGTCCAAACTGTTTTAGCTCTTCAATTATTAAACCGGAATATATTGTATCATACCGTATATTTTATAATACTCTCTTTTATAATTTATGATTTATGCTTTTTCCTCTAATGTTTTATTGTTATACACTTAACACTACACAAATCATTTTGCTCCGAACAATCCTTTACTAAAAGATACTCTTTCAGTTGAAATGTAAAGCCTGGCTATATACAGGCCTTTAATTGTAATCATCACTGATGTCTTCTTCCAACAAAAGGTAAAAGGACAATCAGCACTTTCTAATATTTCCCCTCTGTGCAGGTTGGGGACATTGTGTCAGTGATTGACATGCCCCCTAAAGAAGACACCACATGGTGGAGGGGCAAGCATGGCTTTCAGGTACGCAGCTTCACAGAACACTATGCAGACTGTGAGCAAAAACACACACACACACGCTTCATCTTTCTCTGGCTTTTTTCTCACGGTCAACTTCTGATTAGCTTTGCACTTGAGGTATTTCAAGGACGAGAAGAGAATATGCTTTGTAAAACAGATTTCAAATAGTCAGAGTTTGTTGAAAGACACAAAGCCTGTGAGCAGATAACAGGTTGGACTGATTCATATTCACGGGCTTCAGTCCCATCCTGTAACACAGTGAAACTAGGGCTGTTCAGGACTTCAGGTTTAGTTATATAAAAAAAAAAACAGCTAACAGTCAGCCAGACTTACTAAGTGGGCCTCCAGAGATTTAAAGCAAATACAGGGAGCAGCATTTGTGGTATTGCAAGACATTTATTTGTTTTTTAGGAAGACAGAAACATTGATTCATTTTGAAGCTTATGGGTATATTTTTCTGTCACAGATTTGATTTATTCTGACACAAAATTGTATTTGAGAATAACATAAGACTTCACCACTATTTAGTAAGACTAACGAAGTGCGTATCATCCAAAGTTTCAGTCTTGTAAGAACACAATTCCATCCCCACCGCAGCTAAGCAGAGTCCAGGGGAACACAAAAAGCGAATTCATAAAAAGACTGACTTTGGATGATATCCACTTTGATTAAATCAGACATCTGTCCTCTTGGTTTTCTGTGAATCCTACTGCACTAATGCTAAGACGTGAAGATGAGACTTTTTGAAGATTCCTTGTGTCATTCCTTGTGTCATTTATTTTCTGAGCTTGATCAACAGGTTAGTCAGAGAAGCCGACTCCACTCTGATCTGCTTCCTTGCTAACAGTAGCAGCAAACACAGATTAAAAGCGGCTTTATATAGTCTGAGGGTCTGAGGGGGGAGAGTTTCAGAGGGAGGGTCAACAATAGAGGCCCTGTCCCTCAAGGTCAGGGGCTTGAACTGGTTGAGTCTTTGAAGACCTTAGTGTACAGATGATATGTTTTCCAAACTGAATGTTTTTACTGCAGTGACCTGGTTTGATGCTCAGGTCTGGCTGAACCCTCTCCATCCTGCCCCAGCTCCTCTTGTGTTTTGGCTCACTGCCTTCAAGAAGTAGTGCTGCCAGTCAGGCTCACTGGCAGGCACTTTACTGATACTCCACTTCTTTTTCAGATGAGTGGTCAGTGGCTGGAGACCACTGCCCTCTTTAGGATCACACAGCTTCTGCCTCTAAATATACAGAGACATGGAGAAAGCACCCTTGTGTAGCCTTACCTTTTTTTGGGGGGGCGGTTACAGGGGACCCAACCCCCTTAATAATGCACATGCATTTGAGACCCCTGCGACATTTCCACCATACATTGACTCATAAAAGTTGACCACAGTACAGGACTTTTTTTCAGGGGAGACACACTTTAAACCCAGTGTGTCCCCTCTGTGTCTAATATATCATATTCCAATCACTTGTATATAGACTCTTATTGCACTATTTCAATATTTCACTTTTTTACTATTTTTTCTTTTGTATTACTATTTACTTGCACTATTTTCTTTCTGTTTTATTGTGTTGCACTGTTGGAGTGAGCCTGTGACCTAAGATTTTCATCGTCATAACTACACTGTAGCTATGCACGTATGACCAATAAAAGCCTTGAACCTGTGTTGAAGCTAAACCTATGCCCTTGTGAGTTGGGGAACTAACTGAAATGCCCAAAGTGAGGGGACACAAACACACCTGCTGTACCACCTGTATCCGTTAGAGGGGGTCAGTGAGGGTAGTGGTTTTCTGCTTTTGTGACATTTGACACTGTGCTTCATCGGCTCAGAATTTCCATCGTAAAACATTTCTAACAGATTTTTTCCGGTCAAAGTCCAAAAAACTCTGATTCGGCTGTCTTATTTGATATAGGGTTTTTAAGAAATCACAAAATCATCAACTGCTATTTTCTAGAGCAGCAGGTACACTTACCGGTAGTTTGAACTTGTGTGATGCAGTCATTTTCATACCACATGAAAAGTAAATGTTCATACCAAGCCCTAAATGTTGTCTCTGTCACAGTTTAATAACACAATCATATGATGTATATGACAACCACCACCGAGCATAGGATTCGTGTCCTCTCTCTATCTTTATTATGATTTCTAAATGAGATTTTATTTCCTCCCAGCTCACCCTGCCTGTTCCACTCCTCTTCTCTCTCCAGGTTGGCTTCTTTCCCAGCGAGTGTGTGGAGCTCATAAATGATAAAGTGCCGCAGTCCATGACCAACAGTGTGCCAAAACCAGGTATTCCCCCCCCCCCCCCCCCCTCCTCCTCCTCCTCCTCCTCCTCCTCCTCCTCCTCCTCCTCTTCCTCCTCTTTATCCATTGTCAGGAAATGTTTTGGAAATACACACTGAGGGCTGGTAATGCGATACGGCTTGGTGTGTGCGTGTGTTTGTCAGTGTGTGAGAGTGTGTTTGAGAGATACACCTTGCCAACAAATATTTCACTGGTCTGAATGATTTGTGTCCTGGAATTCAGTTTGTATTTAAAAAGAGCTCTATAGGGTATTTATTTGATTAAGTGTATCATCTTTACTCAACATATCATCATTTTGAGTGGGTGAAATTCCCTGGAAGTATATATATTTCCCAAACTTAAACTTATTCACAGATCCATGCTCAAGGTTTTCACTTTTTTTCTTAGAACTGAATCACAATACATCATCTGTATCAAGATTATCAATAATAATCTAAGACATATGTTTAACATAAACCCTCTTGGAACAACACTTGGCATGTCTGTCATGTTTACTGTGAGTGAGTCAGATCGACCCCAGTGTGTTGTACCCGTCCCGTGTCTTCTGATCCAAAGACTGATCCTACAATATGACTCACTATCACAAGAACCCGCTGGCTTTGGGGTGAGCGCGTGGAGCCAGGGTTCCTCCCCATCAAAAAGCCTCTGAGACTCCGGGGTCCACATTAAGTGATGACACAGCGAACATAAACCCACCCCCTGCAAGAATCCACTTTTGTGAGGGACAGAATATCAGTAGCAGGGTCTCGGTCCTGACGTGCCAATCCAGTTTCAAACGCAGGTTGGAACGCTGTGTTTACTGTTACAGTGCACGCACAGCACAATCCGCAGACAGGCCCCCACTCAACCTTCCCCCCCCACTCCCCGCTGCTGAGCAATGACCCAATGCTTCTGCTTTTTCTGTTTGTATTTTTGCATGTGTTCTTAATTTGTTAATCATGCATTCTTTATTTACTGAGTATCCGCAGGTCAAGAATATTATTATAGTTATAAGTAAACATAAATGTTTTTCTGTTGTATAGCTCATTATTATATACATGTATTATTAAGTAGTCATGTCCTTTTAACTATGTTCAATCAGAAATATGTTGTTAGCCATAACCAGTGTAATATTTAATCTTCTATAACCTGCAGATGTTATCAGTTATACCATCATGGCTCTAAATGAGCACATCCTGCATCTAGTTTATAATCAGCAGCAGAACACATAACTGACTGTAATGTGGTTTGAGCTGCCTGTGTGTTCTCCACTGCGATGCTTCATTAATCCTGCTGTTGGATGTACCGTAGCATTAGCATTAGCATGTGTCTTGATTGGTTGCATTTGACTGTGACTCCTCTGCCTCAGCCTCCCCCTGCTCTGGCCTGCAGCCTGCTTCTTGGAGTCTCTTCCCTCCCTGTGCGTGTTGGTATACACACTCCATTCACCTGCATTTTCCACATTTAGACTTCTACGACATATTGTTCATCTGATTTTGGATGCAATTAAAGTTATAATCCTTAAGATTTAGGCCCGGTTGATTTATGGTTACCAGTAGTAACAGCAATTGCAGGTTAAGATTTCAGAATTCTGGGGTCAGAAAACAATAAATGAACAGCTTATTTGTCATAAATCCAACATAAGAACAACTGTTACATTTCTTTACAGTAGCGCCTAAACATTTGCATTATGATGATATAGAAGTTGGACAATAATTACCCTTTTAATTCATGCTATTGGCAACCTGCAGCTGATTTTATTTTCCACATTGTGGGTTAGCTTGTTGACAATCTGAAGGTGTGCCGTCTGTGAAATGTTACTTAGCATTAGCTCTGATGCAGTGTCAACAGTAAACAATGACACTGATATCAATCCGATCAAATTATAAACAATAATCCTGGATTACACAGAATGTAATTACACTGCTTTGATAATGCCGAAAAAATACATACCATTAAAAGTACTAAAAACAGGGTTTGATTTCATGAATGTCTTCAGAATTATAACTTTAAATTCCCCTCATGAAAAATGACTTGTTTTATTGATGAATGCCAAGAATACTTCAGTGCTAAACATTTTATTTTGCAATGTTTATTGCTCTAGCATCATCACAGTACACATTTGCTCTGTTCTCTAACTTGAAGTGCTTCTCTCCCCTGCCGACTCTCTCATGTCTCCACCATCCATCCATCCATCTGTCTGTGGGGCCATCTGTCCATCGGGCTGCATGCAGACTTGGAGATGGAGAGTGTAATTCAGGACAATGCATGGGTGGCCGACCCGCTAAACCACTACAACCTAAGTTCAGGTAGACAAACAATCCTTTGGTGTGCTGCATTGCCCCCCCCCCCCCCCCCCCCCCAACCAAAAACTAACTCCACAACCTGAGGGATGTGTTTGCACTGTTCCCACCCTAACATAGTATGTATTTGTGAAGATTGGGAAAAGGCTTCACTTTTCACACAGGAGAACTTTGTACACTTTTTGGTGTTACTTTACAACAGAGGGACCTCTCACACTTTGCCCCGTCCGTGACCTTTAACACATTATCTCCACACTCTGTCGGTGGACCAATAAGACAACAGCCACGTCTGAGCATGCATGCCTGTGACTGTGCTGTGAAAATAGCCGTTTTTTTTCTAGTATGTGTGTTGGTGTGAACTTTCCTTAATTAAATGACAAAACATCTATCTAAGAAAAGGTGTGTGTAATGAAACAAGTGGTATTTTTCTTGTTTATTTTTTTCATATAACGCGTTATTTGTTTCAGGCATTTGATGGCATCTGTTTGTAGAAGGCAAGGCAAGTTTATTTATATAAGCACTTTTCAACACAAGGCTTTACAAAATGAAAAGTCGTGGGTCTTGTTTTAAAAGAGGTGAGTTACAGCGGAGGTCTTTGGGAGTATGTTCCAGACATATGTGTGGTCCGACACTTATGGCCTCAAAGATTTCACATCTTAGAGTCCACAAACACCGATAAAGAAGTGCCTCAGCGCTCTCACAACAATTACCCTTCGTGCCAGACAAGTTGACCGGTCACAAACTGGTGACAACAACACATATGGCACCAAGGCCTTTCCTTAAAGGAGATAACAGGCGTCAGAGTAGATCATAAAACGTCAGAGAGCAAAAGGTTAGATATCTAGAAGAATTATTCCTTAACAATATGGAGCATAATAACTGAACGCTGCTTCTCCAAGACTAAAAAAAACGATATATAAAGGTTTCAAGATTAGATGCAGTGGTGTAAAAATGAAACCCCACTTTTCAAATGTTGCTCAACAAAGAGAACAATTGTATCCCTCCAGCCCGCAGTTTTTTTTCTTCCGTTTCACCCCAAAAGGTGTATGCAAATGAGTTCAGGGGTGAGCCAGGTTACTACAGCGTTTCTCAAAGCCGCTGAATGTTGGGTGTGTGTGGACGGGGGCCAGCTGTGTTTGTCTGTGTGTCTGTTCGGTGGCAACTGAAAGGGCGCGCGGCTCCCCCGCCGTGGTGCTAGGTCTCGACCGGCCTTGATTTATTTAATCCTTTTACAATGAGGGGGCCTGTAAATCCATCCATTGAGCGTTAAGCTTTGTCCTGCAACAGTAAGAATCTCTGTCTCCCTCTCCATGGTGACTGAAAGAGCACATTCCTGCAGGGAGCCGCACGGCTTTGGAAAATCTGTTTGCTCTGCCCTCGATCCACTCCGCTCACCACTAACCTTTGCTGTTTTTAGGCGAAACTCTGGAAATTGTTAACATGCTGCACTGCTCCAATTAAAACGGAGACGATAGAATAGAAGCAGGAGTCATTCGGTCCATGTGTGTGTTGTGTTGCAGTCTGAGGTAACTATGTACATTTACTCAAGTAAAGTACAAGTATCTGCAAATTATACTTAAGTACAATACTTGAGTGTTTCCATTTTATGCTACTTTGTACTTCTACTCCACTACAGTTCAGAGGTAAATTGTGTACTTTTACTCCACTACATGTATTTAATACCTTTAGTTACTTTACAGATGTGGATGAATGATGTGAAATATAATCAAGTCTTAAATCAGACTTTAGTTCCACCTGGAGTAAATCCACAAGCTACCCTGCAGTATACAAAGTCATTCAAACTAGCTGCACCTTTACCAGCTTTGAGAACACTTTAATGATCAATCATTATAAAACATGTCATATATATTATTCTGAAATGAACCAATCTGCACAACGACTACTTTTACTTTTGGTACTTTAAGTATATTTTGATGATAATACTTTTGTACTTTTATGTGAGTTACATTTTGAATGCAGGACTTTCACTTTTAACCATAGTATTCCTACACTCTGGTACTTCTACTTTTAATAAAGTACAAGATCTGAGTACTTCTCCCTTCTCTGGTTGCAGTGGAACTCTTCTGTTGACATCAATATGAAAATAAAGAGTTGTGAGCTTTTGATGAAATGGACAGTCAGCCTTCTTTCCTCTCCAGACAACACAACAGTCACTGAGCCAGATGTAGCTCTGCCCCCCACCCTCACTGCAGGCCTTCGTCATGCCTGGGGACCTGTGATTTGTGCAGCTGTGAGCATACATGAGCCAAGACAGCTGGCGATGTGAAGGAGAGAGGAGGGGAAATGGAGAGAGAATGTGCGAGACAGAGTCATATTTGTCCTCCTGTTCCCGAGGATCTCCGATCATTTCCTGGTGCTTAAGCTCCGGGCCGTGAAACCAGCCAAGGCCTCCTGTAACCTGTTGCTCTGTAGATTCAATAAGACACTGTTGTTGTAGGCCGCACCTTTGTGTGGGGAAGTGAACAACTCTCAAGAACTGAATGTGTACATATCATTTAACACCTTTACTTCCTTCTTGCAAAATGTTTTCTATGTAATGTCCATAGTTGCTTTACTACTGTATTGCATCATTATACAAATCTGTCGCATAAGTCATTACTTAAACAAAAGATTAAGTATTGTCCTGTTGCAAAGCTACAGTACAAAGCTTACAGACATTTTTACAATAGGTAGGAATTCGGATTTACAACTAGTTTCAGACAGCATGGCGCGCCGCTCCTGTGAATTGGACTTGGCTCGCAGCTACTAAAACCACTTCCTCCTTCTTTCCACATCCCAGTGAAAAACAGATTATATTCACATCCATGCAAAATAGCAGCTTAATGATCCTTAATCTAACAGAAGGCTCTCATGCTGTTTTATGGTTTATGACGTCAGGGCAGTAGCTACTTCCTGTATGGTTGACTGGTGTCTTAAAGCACATCCCTATTGGTCCTCTGTACTAAAGGCATACACTGCTTCACTGTCTCTGACACCAAACTTCACTGTATACAAAGTGGACGAATGAATTAGAGGGGAGAACTTGCTTATTGAACCGTATGCTATCTATTACAGCTCCTGCATATCATTAGTAGTTCAGAAGTGACCTCTCCACCTTGTTTCTGCTCTGCTCTGTAAGTGATAGTGGAGGACACATACAGACATTTCCCCAGTGTGTGGAATGATTGCTGGATGATTTTAGGGTGGAAAACTATTTCATAGAGTACAACATTACATACCCATGGGACATGCACAGTGAATAATTGTTCAGTTTCTTTACACAAGTTAAAAAACTAAAAAAAAAACGAAGTCAAATTAAAATACTCTATTAAGTAAGTGCAGAAATATCAGCAGAAATACATTGTTTGGTCAAATAAAAGTAATGTTTCAGCAAACAAAGGGTTATGACATTATTAGATTGCAAATACTAATGCATCAAGTTTTTTGCATGTGTATATAACGTGAGTATGTCTTTCCTACACATGCCAAGGGAACTGATCAAATAAAAATATGTTTGTAGTTGGACATTCAGCTCTATAAAGGTTTGGCTTTTTGCTTAAGAATTTGGCTTCATGAATATATCAATGTTTTCATATTTTCAAAAAGTTTAAAAAAACAAAATAATTATATACATTTTGTATACATTTTCAAATATCATGCAGCCCTGGTTCAGTCCTGTGGTGACCCATCCTAAGGGGTAGAGAGAAGTCTGGATGATCTCCAGATGATTCATGTGGTAGGAGAAAGAGAGTAAGGAATTAAGGATACACAACTTTGTGTTTATGATTTTAAATGTTGGTCTGATACTTTGCTTTTTGTGAAAAAGTTAACTATCAGAACCTACGTGTAAAGTGAAATTTGAGGATCATTAATAAGAAATGTCTGTCTTTGTGTGACATTTTTAGGTGATCACATGCAGTGGAAAAGTCCGACTCCAGTCTTGTGATTCTGGACCAACAACAAATTAGTTTGACTTTATTTAGACTTGTGTGCTTAGAGACTCTAGTTAAGGAATTAACAAGATAATGCTTTCAGGGGGAAGGGGCCCCTCAGAGGGAAAGCTTATTTAGAGTTAAGTGAAGGCCGTCCTGTATGTTGTTATGGCAGAGTAGAAGAGAATTCAGTGTGTTTGTATCATGTGTGTGTGTTCAGTGTAATGGGATATTTCCCACTGTGTAGGTGTAAACACAGGCTTGCCTCTTGGCTGCCTCTAGTGCTGCCTTCAAATGCTGTCGGGAATATAAGAACCAAGCATACACAAGTCTGTAATGTAAATGTGACTAGTTGGTTTAACGGAAGAAAACATTTAAACTATGTAAGCAACTGATTACCAATAGGGAACCCATCAGTACGTTTACCACCACAGTACTCAAGTACTGTACTTATGTACAATTTTGAGGTAGGTGCCCTTTACTTGAGTAATTTGGTTCTGCTACTTTTCACTTCTACTCCACTCAAAGTTGGAGTCATATTTGTTATTTTTACTCCTCTACATTTATATATAACATTATGAATTACTTTGTAAGTTCATATTGTTAATTCAAAAATAATCAACTCATGAAATATGATGTACCATTATGGATTAGAATATCTGGAAGTATAAGAAGTCATTAAAGCTAGCTCCCTAATTAAAATGATGTACACATGAATGCATCACTAATAATAACCCAGTAGTGCTGGTACTTTAGGCATATGTTCATGCTAATACTTTAGTTCTTTATCTTGAGTAACATTTTTGATGCAGGACTTTAAGTTGAAAAAGAATATTTCTACACTGTGATATAACTACTTTTACTTAATTAAAATATTTTAGTACTTCTTTCACCACTGTGTACTGTTACTTCTTTCACCACTGTGTATCGTTACTTTAAACACCAAGTGGTTTCAAGCTGTTTCGTCCAACATGGCAACAATGCTTAGCAAAAACAAACATAGGAACTCTATGATTATTTTTATGGAAGTAGAGATCTTTTCAGAAAAGTAATTTTGGATTAATATATCAAGTA